AATATTTATCAAGCCCCATCATGGTATTTAGAAAAGCTTCTCCATGCATTCTTGTTGAACAGTGAACGTGTAATCACCATCCTAATAGCAGAAACACAGGGTAAATAAGATATGCAAGGTCCTTCCTCTAGTGGAACTTTCATTCAGGGGTATATATGTGTGTGTATTTGTTGTGTAATGTGGACATGATAAACAAGCAAATACTTAAAGGTATTTCAGATATCTTTAAGATATCTTCCATCATCATTTATATCTTTTCTCTAAAATTTTTAAAATTTCATTTATTTATAGCAACTCTCTACAAATTAACACCACTTACTGCTTTTCTTAAATACTACTGAAAGTATTTACCCCATTTTTTGCATGTCTTTAGGGTTGTGTATGTGGTGTGGTTATATGATCAAATATACTATGTTTTACTTTTATGAATTCTGCCTTTAATGTAGTGTTTCAGATGCCATTCTTCATCTCAAAATAGCTTTTAATGATTTTATTTTCTTCAAATAATTTTATAATTTGAGAAAAGAATATTTATAACCTTACTGAATCTGAATTTATTTTACTGTGTGTGATGTTGTAATATCATCAACAGATACAAATTCATTTTAGATACCTGATAATTTAGTTCCTCACCAAATAAGTATACATTATTTCATGATTTCATGGACATAACACCAAAAGAACAGGCAAAAATAGACAATTTGCAAAATATATAAGGAAATCCTACAACTCAAGAGCAAAACAACAACAAGAAAAAAACCATAATAGCCCAATTAAAAAATTAGCCAGAGACTTGAATGGACATTTCTTCAAAGAAGATATAGAAATAGCCAATAGGTATAGGAAATAATACTCAATATTATTAATCATCAGGGAAATGTAAATCAAAACATCTCACACCTCTTAAAGTGGCTATGATTTAAAAAAAAAAGAATAAGTGTTGGCAAGGTTGTGGATAAATTGAAAATCTTCTGAGTATTTATCCACATTAGATATGTAAATTTAATCTCAATAAAACTATGATCAAAAAATTTGTATGATTTATAGTGATGTTTCTTCATTCTTGGTATTGTTAGCTTCATTTTCTCTTTGTTCTTGTTTAGTATTGCTCAGTGGTTATCAATTTTCAAGGAGCCATGTTTGAAAGGTTTTCCTCTGTTTTCTCTATCATGCTTACCTTGGGCTTCCTTGGTGGCTCAGCAGTAAAGAATCTGCTTGCAGTGCAGGAAACCACCTGCAATGCAGGAGACACAGGTTCAATCTCTGGGTTAAGAAGATCCCATGGAGAAGGAAACAGCAACCCACTCCAATATTCTTGCCTAAAATCCCATGGACAGAGGAGCCTGGTAGGCCACAGTCCATGGAGTCGCAATAGTAAGACTTGATTTACGGACTAAACCAGCATCACTACCACCATCCTTACCTTCTTTTTTAAAATTAAGTTTTGTTCTTTTCTTTGTTAATCCCAACTTCTGTATCCTTTAGGCTTTTTTCTCTTCTAGTTTCTTAAATAGAAGCTTACATGTTTTTTCATTTTCAACCTTTCTTCTTTTCTAAATCAAAGGTATAAATTTCCCTTAAGCACTACTTTAGTTGCATTAGAAGAATTTAGTTATATCATATCTTTGCTATCACTACTTCACAATATTTTCTAATGTTTAAATTTATTCCCAGACCCAGGCACTGTTTCAGAAGGGTGTTGCTTAATTTCTCCAAATAGGGATGGCTAACCGTATTTTCTTATTCTTAACTTAATTACACTATGGTCAGAGTAAATACTCTGTATAAATTCAATTATCTGAAGGTTTTTGTCCTACCACATGGTCGTTTTTGATAAATGTTCCTAGTGCATTTACAATAATGTGAATTCTTTCATTATTGAGTGCATTGCTCTATATATGTTATTTAGCTAAATGTGTTGATTGTGGTGTTTTACATCTACTATAGTCTTCCTTTTTTGTATGCCTGGTCTGCATGGTATTGAAAAAGATTTGTTAAAGTTCCCCCAGGTTGATTGTTATTTTGTCTATTTTTTCTTTTCATTCTGTCGAGTATTATTCTGTATTTCAAAGCTATGTTTCAATATATTCCCTGGATTCTGATATCTGTAATATCTTTATTATGGGCTTATCACTGTATAATCATGAAAATATCCTCTTTAACTAAATTAGCACATCTTCCCTTAAAGTCTCCTTTCTGTGACCTTGCTATAGCTACTGCAGCTTTCCTATAGTTAGTATTCACATGTGTGCGTGCTTACTAAGTCGTTTCAGTCATGTCCAACTCTTTGCTATGGACTGTAGCCAGCCAGGCTCCTCTGTTCATGGGATTCTCCAGGCAGGAATACTGAAGTGGATTGCCATGCACTCCTCCAGGAGATCTTCCTGACCTAGGGATTTAACCCATATCTCTTATGTCTCCTATATTGGCAGGCAGGTTCTTTACCACTAGCACCATATTCACATAATATATACATTAATACCTAGTATTCACATAATATATACATTTTCCCCCATCATTTGACTTTTGACCTTTCTTTTCTCTCATATACAATGTGAGTATCTCGCAGGTAGCATTTACATGAATTTTGTTGGTTTATCAGTTAGTATAGGGGCTTTAATTTGAAGTATCTAGTCCATTGTAATTAGATTGCAAATCCAATTACTGATATTGTTGGGTTAGTATCTACCATTTCCTTTTAATTGACCCATGTGCTTCATGTTCCTTTTTCCTCTCCTTTTTTTCTTTCTTTGGTATTAAACAAATTTATTCCAGATTTTCCTTTGACTTTCTGCAGCTTCACTAGATGTGGAGGTTTTCATAGCCTTCTATCCAGTTTTTAAAAATTCTTAATTATTATATTTTCAAATATTCCTTCTGCTGCACTTTGTTTCTCTTCTCCTCCTATTCCCCCTCTTTCTCCTTCTCCTCCTTCTCTTTTTCCTCCTTCTCATCTCTCAACTCTAGGACTCCTCTAAGACACTAATTCTGTGTTCAGTTCTGTCTAAAATTCTTTCAGTTCTTAGTTCTAGATATTTTATTTTCAGTTGGTAACTGTTCTTTTGATTATCTTATCGTTACAATTATTTGTTAATTTTTTTCATTTTTCACCTATTGATTCTTTCCTTTCCCCCTAAACACATTGTTCATAGTTAAAATCCTTATCTGCTAACTCCAGCATATCTAGCATGTGTGTCTCTGTCTTCTCTTACCTTCCTTTTTTCAATTTTTAAATTTGCCATGTCATCCATCTCTTTACTTTTTAACTGAATGAGAGAAATGATGCATAAGAAAATAAGATATCCCAGATGCATTTTCTAACACCTGAAAGGATTCATATTCTGTTTTGTTAAGCAAGTGGGAGAAGGGGTTCAGACCACCCAGCTGTCTAGATACCAGCTAGAATTGAGCTGTAACAAGCCTTAGTTGCAGTACTGGTAGCACTCAGTCTACCTCTGATTTCTCCACCCCTGTGTTATGGGCTTTCAGAGTTTATAACTGAAAACCTGAATGTTTTGGTAGCTCAGCAGTCAGGAGGATGAGGGAATATCCACTCTGTTTCCAAGGTGTTTGACACAGTTCTTTGACCTCCTGCCCTTGACAGCATGTTTACTGGGCAGATATTTGAGGAGAAAATCTGCTATATGGGAGAGGCTCTCAAGTCTCCAGTTTTGTCACTGCAGCACCAGGTAACCCCAAAATCATGCAGGCTTCTCGGTCCTACTTTGATCCATTAACCCAGGCAGCAAATTGGGAAGTTCCCATAGAGAAAGAGAAGCTTCAGATCCTTGGCTAACAATGAAATGATGTCCACTCTTTAGAATTTTAGTATGTTTAGTTCATATTGTGTCCACAAATGTCTAATATCTTCATTTTTTATCTAGCATTTTATAGCTTTTAAAGTTGTATCCAGCAGACCATTGGTCTGCTGTGAACCTCTCCATTGGAACCCGTCTTCATGAAAGTACAAAATTCTAGATTTTATTCTCTACTTTATTATTCACTTAAACTGTAACACTGAATAGACATCATTTAAACTTTCTTTACATTGCTTTTTATGTATTAAAGAAGAACAACACAGTGAGTCTGTCAATATCATTCAAGTACTTTCAGAGTAAGAATTTAACCTATTTCTGCTCTATGGTAAAGTTAGAAATGCATAATATTTTCCCCTAAAGAACAAATAACCCTCAACTTTGAATCATAACGATTCCTGACACAAAGTGCAAGAAAAAATAATATTTACTTGAGAGAAGGAGCAGCATTCCAAGATTCCCAGCGGAATCTGGTCAATGTCAATCAATATCACCTGACACATTTCTCATGCAAGGTGGCCCAATCCACTCAAAGAGATCACTTTTTTTTAAAAAAAAAAACAAAGTATCCAGATCTGGAGTCTGAAGCTTAGAACCATCAGTGAAATATTCTGGGGCAAACCAAGACATCTCAAGGTCCATTTGTTTTTCAGTTCCGCATGACTGTACCAAGGAGAATGATTCTAAAAGTAGAGGGTTCATGGCTGCTACCTGAGGCTTCTGATGAGGCCGGTTCCTGACTCCATTTCCTTTCATCTAATCCCTTTAACTCTCAGGTCAAGGGCACTAACATGTGTGTGGTTTATAAGGAATCCTTCCAGCAGCCAGCCCATTCCTGTGACTCTGAACTCATTCAACTGCTCTGGGTAGAGATACTAATATTTCCTGTAAATATTTCTCAGATGCTGTGCAAAACTCTACAAATCAGAGTTAACACTTCTGTCTCACCCTACTCAGTAGTGTAATATTTCCTGTTTTTGCCCATTTTCAATGTTATTATTCTCTTACCACTGCTGTAAGAAACCAGACTCAGGTGCTGCCCCAGTGCAATGACTCCCTATCAGAACCAGGGGAATCTGAAACCTCAGAGGAGAGCGCCCCCTACTGCTCAGGTGGAGGTCCCACAGGACAGAAGACCCTTATTCCCCTTGTCACTGCCCCATTGTCCCATTTCTCTCTCTTCAGACAGCAGACAGCTCCGCCTGGTGGACGGGGGCGGTCCCTGCGCCGGGAGAGTGGAGATCCTGGACCAGGGCTCCTGGGGCACCATCTGTGATAATGGCTGGGACCTGGACGATGCCCGTGTGGTGTGCAGGCAGCTGGGCTGTGGAGAAGCCCTCAATGCCACGGGGTCTGCTCACTTTGGGGAAGGGCCAGGGCCCATCTGGCTGGAAACATTGGACTGCACAGGAAAGGAATCCCACGTGTGGAAGTGCCCTTCCCAGGGCTGGGGAGTGCACAACTGCAGTCATGAGAAGGATGCAGGAGTCGTCTGCTCAGGTATGGTCAGTGTATTGCCCTGTGGTGGCAGAATGAAAAGTTCCATGGAAGCTGGTGTCTGATCACTGGGGCAGTAGGATATAGATGGGCTAGAGAGGACTGAGACAGACCCATCCTCCCTGAATGCACAAAATTTCTGTGGGTAAGGTGCTTCATTTACTTTCCTGCTGTATGTCTCTGCTATTTCTTCTCAGTGATCTCATCTTACATAGTAGATTAAACCTTTCCAATGAAAATTGATCTTCATAATGAAGATGAAGATCAATCACATGAGATATTTTCAAATCACCACACAAATCCCGTTGCACAGTGAGCCTATGGGAGGGGAGGGCTAGAATGAGGATACACCTTTGTGGATGGAGTTGTTTCTGTACATACAGTGTGAGACATTATTTTATACTAAGTTAGTAGGAGTGGAGACACAGAGGATGCCACTAAACAAATCAGACAGGAATTGATGGGTCTGTGCCAAACTGCAAGTCTCTTTTGAAATTTTAGATGTAAATATTTGTAGGCCTTTGCAGGTAAGACCAGAGAAGTTTGGATGAAGTGCTCTGAGTCATAGGTTCTCCTCCTATTGTTACTATAAGAGATTCTCTGCCCATTTTTTCTTTTAAGACATCTGTATAGGCCAAAACTTTGGAAGAACCCTTAGCCATACACTGATAAGACAAAAGTGGAAGCAATACAGTTTCTGTGTTTTATGGTAAGAAATTATATAGTTGATGACTTCAATGATTTAAGAGAATTGAATTGGGGGTTTTATTTCATATGAATAGGAGTAAGGAGACAGATGTAATTTTTGAAGAAGGTAGAAGAGAGTTATAGCAGCTGGGAGGGAGAGGGATTGTAATAGGAGCTGAAAAAGGCACATTCAGGGTGTTCTGAGCAGCACTGATGGTCCAGGTGTGTGTGGTGTGGAGGATGCTGTGTGTGCCTAAGGATGCAGGATGAGTGTACAGCAAGGGACCAGAGAAGGATATATTTTTATTATATTTAATATCCTTATACACTGACATCAGCCTTCTATTCCACAAACTTTCTTGCAATTTTCACACACATAATCTTCCACATAAATTTTAAAATCAAATAGAAAACAAAAAAGAAGTCATAATTTGTCTCAGAAGAGTCTATCCTTATGCGTATAAGACTTTATTGATTATTCAGTGTATATTCAAGCATTTAACATGTATCAGGGTACATAAAACAGCATATAACAAATATTTCTTTCATGTTCTGCCTAATCTGTAATCTTATGGGGTTAATATAACAACTAAAAAGTGTTGAGTAAAAATGCTTTAATTAGAATGTGTCACCTATGAGCAAACTCCCAACCAGACCAGACTAGGAGCACTAACCTATGTCTCTCTGGGGACATGAAAGTGATAAATAATAAAATGCAAGCAGACCATCTTCTGTGTCACCATTCACTCTTGTATAAGTGGTCAAGCTGATCCTTCAAGTCTTTAATTTCTTTTAGGTCTTTTCTATTCTTTCCTGTTTTCTGTAGTAGATTTTTATTTTGTTAGAATATTCTTTCTGAACCTTCAAAGTTCACATATTCATATAATCAGAATCCTTTACCAGAAAGAACTTCACCATGTACATTAATTATCATGAACATACTTTGAAACCAGACAAGTGTGTTAAAGAAAGTGTTTTATGTTGTGGGTTTCTTTTTTATTTGGATTACCTTCCTCTACCCAAGATATGGTCCCTGAAGTTCAAACCATGATCATGAGTCTTTTCTTTGGTCTCTCTCTGTTTCATACCCCACCCACTCCCCATTTAACCTACCATACACCCTACCTCACTCCACTCCTACAGAAGTTCTTCCCTTTCAGAATTTCCTTTCCACCCATTTGTGGTTCTTAAGATTGTTTTCTCTTGTCTGCAGTGGGAGAAATGGGAAAGATAGCAGGATGAAGCGGTTGATGGGAGGAGCACAGGGGATAAAATGCCAAATCTTCTATCTTTCATCCATATTGAGGCTTTTGCAATTTGAAAATTTCTAAATCATGTATGGCTTATCTGCTCCCTGGGCGTCCCTCATAGTTCAGTTGGCAAAGAATCCACCTCCAATGCAGGAGACCCCAGTTAGAACCCTGGATTGGGAAGATCCACTGGAGAAGGATAGGCTACCCACTCTAGTATTCCTGGGCTTCCCTTGTAGCTCAGTTGGCAAAGAATCTGCCTGCAATGTGCAAGACCTGGGTTTGATCTCTGGGTTTGGGAAGAGCCCCTGGAGAAGGGAAAGGCTACCCACTCCAGTATTCTGGCCTGGAGAATGCCATGGACTATATAGTCCATGGGGTCACAGAGAGTCAGACATGACTGAGTGACTTTAACTTCACTTCACTTCACTTCACTATTTGCCCTCTGCTCTCTTCCTCTTACTCTCTTTCTTTACAGCATAGTAGCTATTTCTCAAGAATCCAAGTAGGAAAGGAACAAACAGTTAGCATATAGACAGGATTAAAATACTTTAACTTATCTTCACTCTTTAGCATTTCCTAAAGTTCACATGTCTAGTATGAAGTAATAAAAAACCTCAGCTGTTGCATGCTCCCACTGAGAACTCACTCTGTCCCAGGTTCTTTGATAAATTCTAAGCTTTCAAGAAAGATGGCTATGACCAGCCCCTTCTCCTATGACTCTGAGCTTTCTTCCTATCCAAAGTGATCTCTGGACAACTTTTCAAAATCAGGTCACCTAAGAAATTCTTGGAATTTTTCATTATGAAAAATTATGAGAAACATATGTGAAATCATAACAGTAAACTTGTTATAATGTCTAGCTTTCCTCCTGTTAGCCAGAAGTCTGTCTATTGTTAACAAGCACTAGCAGATTCAGCCTGCGTGATTTTCCTTATCTTCAGTGACTTGAGTATCAGTTCCTGAGAGAAAACTGGCCAGGATTCTGGCCCCAGAAATCTCAGGATGGCCTTCTAACCTTGTATGTCTCTTAGTCCTCTAACCTATTGAGGCCCATGGATCTACTTCACTGTGGGTTAGTTCAGCTCTGAACCTGAGTCTGGTGCCCACTACAGAGCAGTATCCTTGGGCTCTGTAGTTTCCAGGCCTCTAGATGAGGAATTCACATTCCTAATTAACCTCAAAATGCATGTTTTTGGAAATCAGCTATTTCAAACTGACCCTGAAAATCCGTCAGCATTTCTTTTCAGAAATTTGCTCATGAAAATACTTGCTCATGAAATTCTGAGAATAACTGTCCAATTTTCTCTCCAGGCGCCACTCCTGGGAAAGAAAAAATTTCACATTATTGCCTGTGACATTGTTTCCAGTTGCCAAACCAGGACTATGGGCACTCACTGGATTTCTTGTTGTTGTTTTCTTAGGATTTGTGCGTCTGGTTGGAGACAATGGACCCTGCTCAGGAAGAGTAGAAGTACGTCCTGGAGAAGACTGGATCTCAGTGTCTGATGGAAACTTCACACTCCCCACTGCCCAGGTCATCTGCACAGAGCTGGGTTGTGGTGAGGCTGTGTCTGTCCTGGGACACGAGCTCTTCAGAGAGTCTGATGGCCGGGTCTGGGCTGAAGAGTTCAGGTGTGAGGGGGCGGAACCTAAGCTCCAGTTCTGCCCCAGAGTGCCCTGTCCAGGGGGCACGTGTCACCACAGTGGAGCTGCTCAGGTTGTCTGTTCAGGTGAGATGCAGGTCAGGACTTAACCTCCCGCACACTCTGTTCAGGTGAGAGATCATGAGATTTTGCTGAAACTCTGTCTTCTTCTACCAGTGTACTCAGAAGTCCGGCTCATGACAAACGGCTCCTCTCAGTGTGAGGGGCAGGTGGAGATGAACATTTCTGGACGATGGAGAGCGCTCTGTGCCTCCCACTGGAGTCTGGCCAATGCCAATGTTGTCTGTCGTCAGCTCAGCTGTGGAGTTGCCATCTCCACCCCTGGAGGACCACACTTGGTAGAAGAAGGTGATCAGATCTCAACAGTCCGATTTCACTGCTCAGGGGCTGAGTCCTTCCTGTGGAGTTGTCCTGTGACTGCCTTGGGTGGGCCTGACTGTTCCCATGGCAACACGGCCTCTGTGATCTGCTCAGGTAAGAGAGAGGGACAAGGGCTACTGCTACTTAGGATGCTCCTGGAGTGAAATGTCCTAAGAGCAGGGAGTGAGGGAAAACTGGCTTTGGAAGATATTTCATGATGAAATATGGTGCTTCTCATTGTTCACTCATTTTTCAGATTAGGGCAATAAGTGTGAAGGGGAATAATATGTTTTAAAGCAACATTGTTATTGACATATGATCATAGAAAACAGTGTATAAGCAATAAGTGTAGACTTCAGTCATGTACCCAGAGCAGCAAAAAGAACACCCCCAGCATCAAGAGTCACTGTTTCCTCCAATAACTGTGGCCTCCTTCCTCTCCAGGGAAAACTGCTTATCTAACTTCTACTACCTTAGAGTGTTTTATCGGTTTTTGAACTTTATATAAAATCATTCAGTGTGCTTTCTTTTGTGTGTGACTTCTTCGACTCAACATTATATTTAGGATTCACTCATGATATTGTTTATAGTAGTACTTTATTCATTTTTATTACTGTAGAATATTGCTTTCATTGATAACATGGCCATTGATCCATTCAACTGATATTAGAGATTTGAGTTGTTTCCTGCTCTTGACTATTATAAATATGATGCTAGAATGTAGCATGACAATGACTTTGGGTGCAAATACATGTTACTTATTTTCTGTGTTTAACATTTGCTCTTTTCTTTTCGTTTTCTTAATGTTACAGTATCCTTTGATGAAGCAAGTTTTTAATTTGAAGGAAATATTAATATAACTTACCAACTTTTCCCTCTATATTTAATACTTCTTATATCCCTTTAAGAAGAACTTTCCCTACTCCAACATCATGAAAATATTCTCTTAGAGTATCTTACAAAAGTTTCTTTTTCTTTTGCATGTAATTGTACATTCCTTCTGGGATTGATATCTGTGTAAGATAAGTCACGTTTCACATGGACATCCAATTTGCTCAGAATCTTTTTCTGAAAAGACTTTTTCCCCACTGCAGTGCTACCTTTATCTTAAGCAGAAGAGCACGTATGTTTGAGTCCTTCTTAAGACTCTGTATTCTGTTCCACTGTATCATTTGTCTATCTTTGCACCAATACTGCATTTCCTTAACTACTATAACTTTATAATAAGTCTAGGTAATTTTAATTTACAGGGGTTACTTTATATTAACTCTTCTAACTTTGTTCCTTTTCTTACCGACTGTGTTGGTCATTCTTGGTGTTTTGTATTTTGTCTAAGTTTTGGAATCTGCTGGTTAATTTTCATACTCCCTAAAAAATAAGCATAAAGGTATTTTGATTAAGATTAGATTTAATCTACACAGAAATTTGAGAATGACTGACTTTGACAATTTTGGATCTCTCAATACATTGACATAATTTTTATTGTGGTTTAGTCACAAAGTTGCATACAACTCTTTTGTGACTCATGGACTGCAGTCTGCCAGGCTCCTTTGTCCACGGGATTTTCCAGGCAAGAATACTGGTGTGGGTTACCATGCCCTCCTCCAGGGCTTCTTCCTGACCCAGATATTGAGCCCACTTCTGAACTGGCAGGCAGATACTTTACTATTGAGCCACCTGGGAAGCCACTGATATACTATATCCCTCCATTCAGCTAGTTCTTAAATTTCTCTCAAAAGTTTTGTCCACCTTCTTCTACATTTTTCTTAAGCATTTAATTTATTTATTTTTAATGTTATTAGTATTTCTTTTATGGAAGGTGTCCTAGGAATGAATTATCTCTGACTTGTTTTCACCTTTTAACTTTTTTTAAAAATTTTGATGTAATTTGAGACTTACTGAAAAGTTACAAGAATAATATAAGCATTTCCAGATGACCTTGAACTGGAGTCCCTCAATGCTAGTTTTTGGTTCATTCTGTCTCATTTCTCTCTGAACATATAAAATCTTACTGGATTATGTTGCCGTCATGATGTTCCTTTACTGCTAAAATACTGTGAGGAATTTCCCTAAGTAACCACAGGTTTAGTCAAGTTCTCAGCTGACTGCAGCCCCAGATGATATCTAAGTGCAAGTACTGAAAGACCCCAAGAGAGAACTGTTGAGTCTTCCTAAATTTCTGACTCAGGAAGTCTTAAGCAAAATGAAATATATATTTTTTCCTCCAGTGGCTAAATTTTGGGGGAAAATTTGTTGCACAGCACTATAACCAGGACACTTACCATGTGACCTGCAGTTAGATTGGTGCAAAAGTAATTGCAGTTTTTGCATTGTTGAAATTTGCCATTTGACATTGGAATATATTCTTAAATAAATGTGGTTATGTTTCACATCATTTAATGTGTATTTCTTGATTTTTATTTTGCTAATGGTTTATTACTTGCTGTTTATTCTATATGTATTTTAGACTATAGTCATGATGTTAGACACAAAGCAATTTCAAGTGATTTTCTTATTCACTCAAAATGGGTCATAAAGCAGCAGAGAAAACTTGCAACATCAACAATGCATTTGGTCCAGGAACTGCTAATGAACATATAGTGCAGTGGTTGTTCAAGAAGTTTTGCAGGGCTTCCCTGGTGGCTCTGTGGTAAAGAATCCGCCTGCCAGTGCGGGAGACACGGATTCAATCCCTAGTCCGGGAAGATCCCACATGCTAAGGAGATGCCTGTGCATCACAACTTTTGAGCCTGTGCTCTAGAGCCTGGGAACCACAACTACTGAAGCCCAGAAGCCCTAGAGCTTGTTCTCTGTAACAAGAGAACCACCACAATGAGAAGCCTGCTCACTGTAACAAAGACTAGTCCCCACTCGCCACAACTAGAGAAAAGCCTGAGCAGCAGCAAAGACTCTGCAAAGCCAAAAATAAATAAATAATAAATAAATTTTTAAAAAAAGTTTTGCAGAGGAGACAAGAACCTTGAAGATGAGGAGTGCAATGGCCTGACATTGAAAGTTGACAACAACCAATTAGAGCAATCATCAAAGCTGATCCTCTTACAATTACATGAGAAGTTGCCAAAGAACTGAATGTCAACCTTTCTACAGTCGTTTGGCATTTGAAGCAAATGCTGAAAGTGGGTGCCTCATGAACTGACCACAAATAAAAAAAACTTGTCATTTTGAAGCACTGTCTTCTCTTATTGTACACAACAACAATGAACCATTTCTCGATTGAATTGTGACCTGTGACAAAAAGTGGATTTTATATGACAACTGGTGGTGACCAGCTCAGTGATGGGACTGAGGAGAAGCTGCAAAGCACTTCCCAAGGCCAAACTTGCACCAAGTTTGGTCACTGTTTGGTGGTCTGCTCCCAGTCTGATCCACCACAGCTTTCTAAATCCCAGAGAAACCATTACATCTGGGAAGTATGCTCAGCAAATCACTGAGAGGCACTGAAACCTGCAACACCTGCAGTCGGCATTGGTCAACAGAAAGGTGCCAATTCTCCATGGCAACGCCCGGCCACACATAACACAAACAATGCTTCAAAGGCTTAACAAGTTGGGCTACGAAGTTCTGCCTCATCTGCCATATTCACCTGACCTCTCATCAACTGAATACCACTTCTTCAAGCATCTCAGCAACTTTTTGCAGACAAAATGCTTCCACAACCAACAGGAGGCAGAAAATGCTTTCCAAGAGTTCATCAAATCCCAAAGCACAGCTTTACACTACAGGAAAAAACAAACTAATTTCTCATTGGCAAAAATGTGTTGATTGTAATGGTTCCTATTTTGATTAATAAATATATGTCTGAGCCTAGTTATAATTATTTAAAATTCGTGGTCTGAAACTGCAGTTATGTTTGCACCAACCTAATAGAAGAATATTTGTCCTCTGATCTTCTGTTTTAATAACTGCCTTATGCTGATCTAATGTGCTGATACATTCATTCTTTAGTTCTTAAATTCAACTATTAAGTGTTCTAGCTCTAGAACTTTTATTTCTTTTTTGTTAAAATTTCTCTGCCAAGAAACACATCTTGGCAATTAATCTTAAGAGCACTTTAATCAGGGCTATTTAAATTCTCTGTCAGGTAACTCAAATAGTTGAATATTTGGGGATATTTGGGGGAATGTCTTCTTTTTCCTTTTGGTTTTCCATTTGATCTCTTTTACGTGAGGTTTGTTTTTTTTTTTCTTCTTCTTTTGGTAACATACACGGAAGATGAAGGCTTCTAGAAATCTTTCAGAAAAGATTTTGTTTTGTTTCTTATATTTAGATATAGATTTAGGTATAGAACACACTATTTAACTTGTTCTCAGTGCAAAGCTTGGCTTAAACAAAAATTGTGGCACTGTCAGAAGCAGACCCCTCCATGGAGAAACTGAACTTTAAATTTATAAACTTCACTGCTATTACAGCTTTCATCTCAAACTCCATCACTAGGTTATTATTTAGTTTAATTCAGTTTCCTCTTCTTCAACCCAACCAGACCTCTGATCATTGCTCTTTCTGCAGGAAACCAGACCCAGGTGCTGCCCCAGTACAACGACTCCGTGTTTGAACCAGCAGGCTCTGCGGCCTCAGAGGAGAGTGCCCTCTATTGCTCAGGTGAGTGTCCCACAGGACAGAAGACCCTTTACAACCCCGTCACTGCCCCATTGTCCCATTTCTCTCTCCTCAGACAGCAGACAGCTCCGCCTGGTGGACGGAGGAGGTCTCTGCGCCGGGAGAGTGGAAATCCTTGACCAGGGCTCCTGGGGCACCATCTGTGATGACGGCTGGGACCTGGACGATGCCCGCGTGGTGTGCAGGCAGCTGGGCTGTGGAGAAGCCCTCAATGCCACGGGGTCTGCTCACTTTGGGGAAGGGCCAGGGCCCATCTGGCTGGACGACCTGAACTGCACAGGAAAAGAGTCCCACGTGTGGAGGTGCTCTTCCCAGGGCTGGGGGCGGCATGACTGCAGACACAAGGAGGACGCGGGGGTCATCTGCTCAGGTGCGCTCTGCACACTGTCCACAGGCTGGGGGAGGGGTGGGGCCCTGGAGGACAGGAGTCAGAGCCCTGATGGAGAGATGCTGAAAGGATCAGAGAAGGTGGCTTCCTCCCAGGGAGCCTGTCTTTCCAGCAGACATGAAGACTGGGTGCTTTCACTTTCTCCTGCAGCAGCTGACATTCTGGTCCTTTCTTCTCAGTATTGTTTCCTGACAGCGTTGTTTCTTACAGTTAACACTTGATAGCAGGGCTCACTTTTCAGTTATCTGTGGGAGTAACACCTGGAAATCCTAGGCTTCCCAGGTTTTGCTAGTGGTAAAGGACCTACCTGCTATTGCAGGACATGTGAAAGATGCGGGTTCAACCCCTGGGTTATGAAGATCCCTTGGAGGAGTGCATGACAACGCATTCCGGTATTCTTGCCTGAGAATCCCATGGACAGAGGAGCCTGACATAGTGAAAACTCAAATTTTTCCTTTACAGTTCTGTTTGCTAGGAGTCTAACGAGAGTCTCTGGGGGCCAACATCCCAGTGTCCACAGGGCTGTGTTCTCCCTGGAGTCTCTGGGCAGGACGCTTCTCCCAGCTTTTTCTGGTTTCCCAGGTGGTCTCATTTCTTGGCTCAGAGCTATCTTTATTCTTCTTCAGACAACAGTGCCTCTTCTGACTGTTCTCTCTCACTCACATTTCCCTTTGACTGGAGCTGGGAAAGTGGATGCATTTCTCAGCATAGGGGATTTAAAGATGTGTTAGGCTGGGGTCACATGGTTAATCCACAATATTTGGGCATTATGTCTCCATCCCAAGGTCCTTATTAATCATGTCTGTAAAGTCTCTTTTGAAATGTAAGGTAACATGTCACAAGTTCAGGGATTAGGCTGTGGACATCTCTGGGGGTCCATTATTCTGTCAACCACATCACTGTCCACATCACTTTCCATTCTTTTAGAAGTTTTGCCAGGAAGCAGGATTCAGCTCCCATCACTGCACCTGCACTAGTTGGCCTTGCTCTCTGTTCATATCTACAATGTTGTGGTAGAAATAGGTGTACAGAGGTTAATGGACAAAGTCAGGTGAAAGGGAGGCAAAAGTCAGTCTTGTCACCCAGTGGGCATCTCCTCTGCTGGGTCAGTGATGTGTGGTCACAACTTCTGGGGGAGTGGAAAATGCAGAGCACTGAGTGCAGTGCTCACTGTGTCCTATATCCTCCCTTTCAATCTTAGAGTTCTTGGCCCTCAGGATGGTGAGCGAGGACCAGCAGTGTGCTGGCTGGCTGGAAGTTTTCTACAACGGGACCTGGGGCAGTGTCTGCCGCAGCCCCATGGATGATGTCACCATGTCCGTCATCTGCAGACAGCTTGGCTGTGGGGACAGCGGAAGTCTCAACTCTTCTGTGACTCTTAGAGAAGGTTCTAGACCCCGCTGGGTAGATGGAATCAAGTGCCGGAGTACTGATACCTCTCTCTGGCAGTGTCCTTCTGACCCTTGGAATTACAACTCCTGCTCTCCCAAGGAGGAAGCCTATGTCTCATGTGCAGGTGACTTACTATCTGCTTCTGTGTCACTCCCAACCGTGTAGGATGCCGTTAGTATGATTTCCTATTTTCAGATCTAATTGATGAGTTTGGGTTGAGTCTACAAAATGTAGGTGTATATTTGTATTTGTCTCTGTGTCTCTTTGTTTGCTTTTGTTATGATAAACAACTAATTAGATAAAGTAATTTCAGCTGCTGAAAAGGTGCAGTGAACCTCTAGCCAAGTAGATGATGTAGCTTCTGTGGTCTCTTGTCATTTGACTGTGACAAAAAACCTTAGATACTCATGTTTGGGGACAAGACCACGCCCAGCTGTTCCTGATCCACTGTTTCCCTGTTGTTTGCAGGAAGAAGACCCAAGAGCTGCCCAGCTGCTGCCCCCTGCACAGGTATGTTAGCCCCGCCCCCTCCCAGGGCTCCCAGGGGCTCCTTCCTCCCACCAGGGGAGTCACAGGAGGGGCTGCTGCCTTTTCAGACAGAGAGAAGCTCCGGCTCAGGGGAGGAGACAGCGAGTGCTCAGGGCGGGTGGAGGTCTGGCACAGCGGCTCCTGGGGCACCGTGTGCGATGACTCCTGGAGCCTGGCAGAGGCCGAGGTGGTGTGTCAGCAGCTGGGCTGTGGCCCGGCCCTGGAAGCCGTGCGGGCCGCGGCGTTTGGCCCTGGAAGCGGGAGCATCTGGCTGGACGAGGTGCGGTGCGGGGGCCGGGAGTCCTCCCTGTGGGCCTGTGCCACGGGGCCCTGGGGGCAGAGCGACTGCAAGCACGAGGAGGACGCCGGGGTGAGGTGCTCTGGTGAGTGAGGGGCGCGGGTCCGCCCTGGTGAGTGAGGGGCGCGGGGTGAGGTGCTCTGGTGAGTGAGGGGCGCGGGTCCGCCCTGGGTGAGCTGGGGCAGCGCGGCGGCAGTGGGCTGGGCCGGGCCTGGTGGGGAGTTTGTGTTCAGAGAGTGTCCCTGTGCTGGGGCTCTGATATAGGACGGGGGAGCTGGGAGGACTAGACCCTGGTGTTGTGGAGACTGAGGGGTGATTTCAGGCTCAAGAAGGAAAATAGGGCTGCCCTTCATTCTGGTCAATTCCCTTTACCCAAACTCCTGTTTTTCTCTTTAGGTGCAAGGACATCATTGCCCCCGACTACAGCAGGTACTGAGATCCATCTATGGGCAGGGGAGAATACTGAGATTCTGGGGACCTGTTCTGTGGGCTCTCTGACACCTGAGGAGAGGAAAGTCGAGGAGGCTCTGGCTGTTGGGGAGGAGCCAGGGTGTTATGCTGGGGAGCTCCCCTACCCTTGTTCCCAGAGTCAGAAGGTTCTCATGCCCGGGGTCCAAGTGGCTCTGGTTCCCCTGTTGCAGATTCTGAGGTTCTCCCACCTGCCCCTGTGTGTTGCTCCTCATCAGTGAGGCGCAGGTCCCAGGACTGTTCGATGCTCTGTCTGTTAAAGCCCAGGGAGAGGGGATGAGCCAGGTCGTCAGAGGCGGTTTAGGCAGGGCAATCCCTGACAATGCCTGGCTCTGCCTCGGGGCCACACTGGCAGGAGTGAGGTTGGCGTCTCTTGAGGACGAGACTGGGAGGAGCCCAGTCACTGTCAGTGCACTTGTATCCGAGGCGGGGGCGCCATTGTCCAGAGCGCCTGGATATTCTGGCACAGAGGGTTGCTCTGCCCAGGACCTTCTCCAACCCTCTTTCCTGTTCTCCTTAGGGACCAGAGCAGCCTCAAATCCACTCCCTGGCATCTTCTCCCTGCCTTGGGTCCTCTGCCTCATCCTGGGGGCCCTTCTCTTCCTGGTCCTCGTCGTCCTGGTGACTCAGGTGCTCAGATGGAGAGCAGAGCGCAGAGGTGGGCTGCAGGGGAACTGGGGACCAGGGAGCGTGTGTGCAGGCAGGAGATGGGGCAGGTGTGAGGAGGGGAGCCTGGGCCAGGTCTCTGCTCTGAGTCTGCAGACTCCATGTGCTCTAAGTGCTGAGTAGACAGAGGCTTTTAGGACTGGTATATGAGCTCTCATAACTCATAGCCTGTCCTGTGAGATGAGACAGAGTTGGGGCTGAGCTGTATTCAGGGCCAGATGAGGGGAGAAGGTGCCAACAGGTGCACTGGGTGGGAAGCTATCCTGAGGTCCCTACAAAACCTGTGTGCGCACTGGAGAGATAAAGGATGTATCTGCTGGATCGGGGTATCTGGGCCAACATTTCTAACCTGCTGGGGGATCTCTGAGCCTGCTGGACTGGGGTATCTGGGGTAGCATCTCTGACCTGCTGGGGGATCTCTCAGCCTTCTCCAGCTATGAAGATGCTCTTGCTGAAGCAGTGTATGAGGAGCTCGATTACCTTGTGTCACGGAAGGAGGGTCTTCTGGACAGCCCAGGTGGGTGTCTCTGCCTACCCTCCTGGGACCTCTGATTGTCACCTCCCATTGGCTGTGTGCATCTTCTCAGCATCTGCAGCCCCCACGAGTGCCCCAGACTCACAGAGGCAGCTCCTCCAAAGTGGTAGGATGGCCTCTCAGAGCCCTGAGAGCCCCCAGCCTCTGTCTACACTGCATGAACCAGGCCTGTTACTTCTCAAGCTTAACACTGGTCCCTTGGGTGTGGGGAGGGTCATTCTGTGTGTTGTGTGATGTTTGTCTCCACATTAGGCCTCCTGTCAGATGGTGAGGACAACGATGACTCCAGATCTGCTCCAGGTAATAGAGATGGACCTGCCTCAGCTGGGTGTTGGGGAGGAGAGTTTCCATCATAGATATGAGAGGCAAGGGAAACAGTCTTCCTTTGATGGAGCAGTAGCATCGCTTGTATCGAGATGGAGTCCATCCTTCCCCTTCTCTGACTGTTCTGTGATGTCTCACATTTGGAGCTGGGCTCTCTGTGTCCAGAATCACAACAGAAACACAGTGTTTATAAAAATAACATCTGGAAAGCACTATTTGTGAAAACGCTTTAGTCATGCTTATGGTATATGAGTTCCTTTGAGAAAGATGTGTAAAATCATGTTTTGGCTTATGAAGACTTCAAACTGAAACATGGTCTTAGAAGAGAAAAGATCTTTTGAAACAATGTGCGTCTCTATAGCGGCTCAGAAACTCTGGGTCAGAAGGGATCGTAGGGATTTCCCAGATGATCCCACTTACCGTGGTTTCATCTGACCCTTGCTCTGCCCTCAGAAGCCCCAGATCAGAGGACTGATGACCCTGGTGAGGATTATGATGATGCTGAAGAGATACCAGTGCCTGGGGCTCCTCCTGCCTCTCAGGTGAGCGAAGAGGAAGTGCTCCCAGTGAAGGAAGATGGGATGAGGTCTCACACAGGTGAGTGGGGTTAGCTCATCTCCTGCAATCTTCAGTCTCTGTCCTGGAAATGGTGAAATGTAACTCCTCAATGCCCAGCCTCTCTAGAATTTCAAAACATTGGTAATCTCATGCATTTGATAGGCTTCCCTGGTGTCTCAGATGGTAAAGAATCTGCCTGCAATGCAGGAGACC